GGTGACTCACTCTTATAGAGTCTTAGCAAACACATCCATCAAAGTCTCATCAGGCAAGCTGTGATATCATTTGACCAAACTAACAAATATTAATACTTCTTCTGTATTATTTATTCCATTTTAGTTCATTCATTTTTTGCAGATCTATTTTCAGTTTTTAGTACGTTAAATATAAAACCCTTTACCAGATATCAACCACAAATCAATAAATAGATTCTAAACTGTTCAGAATGTCTGGCTCCACAATGCATTTTGGAACTGCTGTGCATACAAACCAGAGTGCAGCGAGCGCTCCTCACCAGCAACCAGGGAGCTGCTCCCACTTCACGCTTAAAGACAATTTGCTGCACTCCTCAGTTGTAGAATGACCTGCCTGAGCAACTCCAGCACGCTTTCTTTCCTGTTAGAGAATCATTAAAATCATTGGATCTTCTTGTGAATTTTAATATATAGCTTTGACCTGCTAATTTGCACTGCTCTCGAGTGGTTGTCATTATTGAAATTAACTTGTACTGCCAGTGAGTTAGTGCAATGTTAGCAAATCAGTCACAGAACATTCTCCTCTTGTTTGTCATGTCTGTTTGTCACAGATACAACAAAACAGAGATATTTTCTTTACATTTTCTCTGGCAGCCCTGATCTTCCACAGCTCTTTAACATTTTTGTTTTTATCACTTTTAATAATCTTAGTTTAGCTTTTATTTAGCAGTCATTTCTGCATGTCCAACCAACACTTTAATTTGAGAAACGTGCAAATTTTAATACAGGACATTAAAAATGTATGTCTCCCTGCTTCCTGCTCACATTTGTGTCATGTTGTCCGCACTCAACACGTCTCCCCAAACTCACAGACAGTAAGCTTGCTACTGGAATACAAAAGAAATGATTCTGTAAATGCAAAAACCAAAAATCCAAAGCATATTCAATCTGCAGTGGTATGGCCCTTTCATCTTGATAAGAAAGGTGTTTTACGCTGAATATGGCTCACTGTCATTATCATTAAAACACAGAGGTAATCAAATCCTGTACAAAATTACGTTCCTTCACCACACACGCTAACACACACACCTCATCATTACAAAAGAAGAAAATAATACAGAATACTTTCATTAACAACACTTCATCATTATTATCTTAGAATCATCTGCAGAATTCTCTGAATCCTACTGATGATTTCCAGATTGTTGAAGAAATGAATGGCAGTTTGTTAATAGATACATGTTGGTATACATAGCAGTTGTAGTAGTATAAATGTCATTATCACAGTTTAACAACATGAAGTGGCTCAGAGAGAATCAGCTTGGCCCTAAACATTTTCCTTTGTCACTGATGAAGCAGCTTCTTAGCCAAGAAGTCAAATCTAAGACCCAGATGAAATTGGAATGTCTTCTCATTTTAGTACCCAGGTCAAAATGTCTCATTATGTGTAAGCAGTAACAGGCAGCAACTTCACGTCAGTACTGAGTTATTTCTGTTGAAGGAGAAGTCTGCAAAAATGTGATCAGCCCAAACATACTGAACTTAATAAGCTTCAATCTGGTTTTTCTGGGTACTCCAAGACTTTGGCACACTGACATATTTTAATTCCAAAGAGACAAAATCAGAATCAAAGCAACGTGGATTCAAACCTTTACCCATTAGTATCAGACAGTGTCTCTTTGTTAACACCACCAAACGATGTGTTTTTAACGAGCCCAAACTACGATAAACCTGATGACATCATCAGGGTTATGATGCATTTCACCAAACTTTAAGAAAAGTATTCATAAGGTGCAATTACACACAAAGTCTCTGTAATCAGGCAAACTGAAATGCATTTGGCAAAACCCATTAGATGGAATTCAACCGCTGACTGTGAATTCTCTCCCGAAGCTTCCAGACGTAGAAGACAAATTTATTGAGCGCAGCTGGAACCATCTGTTTCAAATATCTGATGTAAAGATAGCAAATTTAAAAAAGGGCATAGAGGGCTTCATGATAAGGTGTGAAAATATGTTTCTTTCTCTTGATTCCAACTATTGTCTGTACTTTTCCTCATCCTGTTGGCTAACAAGGGCTAATATTTGAGTTGCTAATGCAGCTGAATTCACAAGTACTTTCACTTTGCATATGGTGCAAATGCCCCATTGAACTCAACTTGGGGCACCAAAAGGTGAGCAAACAGCTTTTCATGAATGAAGTAGCTGCTAGCTGCTTCTGAGAGTTTCATGACAGAATCAAATGGCTTACCACCTCTCTTCAACCCTCAAATTACAAACTTCTATTTTAGTTTTGCAACTATAATCCAACAAGAATATTTTACATTGTAGATTATTAACCAACCGAATCATAATTTCTGCTTCTGGCATGAATTTGTTGTGTTTTGTAGTCAGAATCACATGCAATAAAGTTTACTTTATGGTCTGGTAACACAAGCTAGAGCGTTAACATCCCACACAAGATCACTGGCTGTCAAATTTTTCTATTAGTCATACACTTGAACTTTGTTTTCACTCACTGTTTGACCAGGCACTAAACCTACTTAGCTACTTGGCTATTTTAGGAAAAGATAATAGTTGTGGTTAAAATAAAATATATATGGCTATCACTGGATGGCTACTGAAAACTAAATTTTGAGCCCCTTCTGTCCAAAAACGTATGATACATTTTTGAACAGCTCAGGTAAGCTTATATCAATGTCATTATTGGTTTTAACCCAAATAAATTTCAGTATTTTACCTCAGTGAATGTAAACAAATGTAAAGGGTGATCAGCTGAACACTTTTAGTGCATAACTACTGTGGCTTTACTTCAGCTTCAAATCATGGCAAGGTCATCTGTTACAGTTGAGGTTAGAAGTTTGCATAAACTCCTCATGGGCATAAATGTAATGGAAATTTTGAGCTTTTCATGATCACAATTCTTTCTTTTTTCTACTGTTCTTTCTTTTCCGGAATTATTTTAGAAAACTAAAAAAAGAATTGAGTGCACAAGTTTGAATTTATTTTGATTTTTTTGTTTTCTCTAATCCAGACAGGGTCATGGTACTGATTGGAAGGTTGGTGGTTCAATCCCTGGCTACTCCAGTCTCATGTCTAAGCATCCTTGGGCAGGATGCTGTCTGATGCTGTCTAATGTGTGTATGAATGTAACATAGAAATCACTTGTATGTAGACGTAGATGATGTGGTAAGTTGTATAAAGTGCTTTAAGTGTTCAAGTAGAGTAGAAAAGTGCTAAGAACCCGTCCACTTACATATCAACTTCTCATTAGTGATCATGTCTGACAGTGGTAGTTGTTCTTTGAAGCATAAACATTATTTTCCAGCACCTACTGGATTGATGAATAGTTAGAGCAATGGTAAAGTCTAAGGAACTCAGTGAAGATCTAAGGAGAATTATAAATTTATACAAGTTGGAAAATCTGTTAAAACTATTTCTAAACCACTACAGTTTCCAAATCATCAGTTCAAACAACTGTACACGAGTACAAGTTATTCAGATGTGTTACCACCTTCACCCTCAAATGAGAGGAAATTACTCAGGATGTTCAGGAACAACCCAGGAACCACTCAGGCTCAAGCCTGGCATGAGCTGTAAACTGCTGGAACACCAGCGTCACTGTCCATGGTAAAGTGTGTTTTAAATAGCTGGGGATCAAAGGCTACTGACCAAGCAAAAAGTCTACTCTCCAAAATTGAAACCTTCAAGCTTGACTGAAATTTGCAGTTGCCCAAATGGAAAACCTTCTGGTGAACGTGGCCAGGGAGACATTAGCTGAGCAATCTGGCCACAATAACGAGAGCTATGCTTGGAGGAGTAAAGGTGATGCTTGCAGCGTTAATAACACTGTACCAGCTGTTAAGCATGGTGACTTCCAACATCATTGTGAAGTTTGCGGACGACACTACAGTGGTGGGTCTTATCACCAACGGTGATGAGACGGCTTACAGGGAGGAGGTCAGCGCCCTGACCCACTGGTGTCAAGACAACCATCTCACACTCAACGTCGCAAAGACAAAGGAGTTGATAGTGGACTTCTGGAGGTGCAGAGAAGTACACACCCCCATCACCATCAACGGCGCTGCTGTGGAGAGAGTGAGCAGCTTCCGGTTCCTTGGAGTACATCTGGCTGAGGATCTTACATGGTCAGTACACACAAACAAAACAGTGAAGAAGGCGCAGCAGCGCCTCTTCTTTCTCAGGAGACTGAAAAGATTCGGCATGAGCCCCCGCATCCTCAGGACCTTCTATCACTGTGCCATTGAGAGCATCCTCACTGGATGCATCACCACCTGGTATGGCAACAGCACCGCCTACAACTGCAAAGCTCTCCAGAGAGTAGTGCGGTGCTCTGAACGGATAATTGGAGGTGAGCTTCCCTCCCTCCAAGACATCTACAGGAAGCGGTGCCTGAGGAAAGCGGGGAGGATCATCAAGGACTCCAGTCACCCCAGCCATAAACTGTTCAGACTGCTTCCATCAGGAAGGAGGTTCTGCAGCATCCGGTCCCGTACCAGCAGACTGAGAGACAGCTTCTTCCATCAGGCCATCAGACTGCTGAACACGTCATAGACACCTCAGCTTCACTACTGGAACTTTAACATTATGCACTCCACACTGTATATAAATGCCACTTGTTTTGCACATATTCAACTCTGTATATTTTATATATTTTATTATTATTATTATTATTATTATTTTATTTTTATTTTTTTACTATTTAATTTGTAAAAATGTGTATACACACACACACACACACACACACACACACACACACACACACACACACACACACACACACGTAGGAAAATATTTAGTATACACATCCAGAAATGCATACACTATTATATATTGTACATATATTTATTAGTTTCAGGTTGGCCATTCTTGGATTTTGCTCGTTTGTGTTGTTGTGTTTGCACATCTCTGTTGCTTGTGGGGCTCGCACACAAGAATTTCACTCGCATGTGCTGTGCCAGTGTGCCTGCACATGTGATGTGACAATAAAAAGTGATTTGATTTGATTTGATTTGGTGGTGGCAGCATCATGCTGCCAGTGGTACATTGCACAAAGTGGATGGAATAATGGAGGACAACCTCCAAACCTCAACTTCAACTCGAACCAACAGCTAGATGGGTGAAAAAAAGACAATGATCCCAAACACAAATCAAAACTTTTTGGAATAGATAAAGCAGGAAAACATTAAGATTCTGGAATGGTCTTCCCAAATCCCTGGACTCGAACCCTACTGTAAATGTGTGGACTAACTGATTAACTCATTTAAATGAACTTTTCCAATTCTGCCAAGAGCAGTACTCAAACATCATCAAACATTGTTTATGAGTACCAAAAGCGTCTGGTCGAGGTGCAGCTTGCTAAGGGGACATTTAACCAAATAACACGTAGGAGTACGCGTTTGAGGTTGCATGTATAATTTTGACCCTGTGTGGATGAAAGAAAATCCAAAATAAACTCAAACTTGTTTTTTAAGTCCATTAAAGATGTATGTGGCACGGGCCACCCTGGAAAAAGAACAGTTAAAAGAAATGAGTAAAAGCCCCAAATTACTGTGATATTCATGCCCATGATGAGTGTCAGTAAACGTCTGACCACAACTGTATGTACTGTATCTCTCTCAGCACCATCAATGCACTCTGCCCAACACTGTTTCAGTACCTGGTAAAAGACAAATCACCTTGAAAGCCAACAAGGAGAAACAAACTAAAGTCAAACCAAAGAAAAGGAGGATTTGCAAACCTGTGCACAGGTGGTGATACAAACACTTTTATGACACACTGCTGCCTTTCTGACAGTATGAGCACTTAATAATTCATGTGAAGGCTTTCTGCTTACACAAGAAGCATTAAAATAAAATTCTGTTTATTTATAAGTTGGTTTTTTTGTTGTTGTTTTGGTCAGCACAGCATTGAACTGCAGAGACAGAGCAACCATGTCAGACAGGCTTGAAACTACTCAAATATGGAAAAGCTCCAGTGAAGTTGTCTGAAGGCTTGTGTTAGCAGTGTCTCTGTCTCTGTTTGTCCACTGAAGGATGTCCAAACTATAAAATTGTATTGAAATTTGCAAAATAACAGAGATCTTCTTAAACCATTTCAGTCATTTTTAAGAGGGTTCATCTAGAGGAAGGAAATACTAGTTGATAATTACGTGGAGATGGAGAGGAAGATGAACAATCGTGATCACGGCATTCTCCAGAGGGGGGAGTGATACGCTGTTTTATACGACACCAGTCTGCAGTGTTCATTCAGCCACAAGACCAAAGAAATTGCCTGTGAGCACTCATGTGTTCATTATGTATGAGTGGCATGTGAAGTATTTTCATGTCACACAAGATTATTATTACTTCTGTGTGTTTATGTAAGATTGTCCATCACTTCTGTGCAGTACTCATTTGTACAAGTTAAAAAGGCATTTAAAAGACACCTGTATGATCTGACCAAATCTGTTCAGCTGATAATCCCAAACAATTAAAAGAATGAATGTTTGGATTTCATAGCGTCACCATTCAGCGGTGCAGATTTCAGGGATCTGACCCCATGCCTTCCTGTCTCCTGTGTGGGATCTACAGAGGCTACAAAAACACAAGTAAAAAACATAAAAGGTGCTAGAATGAGTTTTTCTGTCCCTGGTTACTATTGCAATGCAACATGGCAACAAACAGCATAACCACAGTTACTTCACCCACTGGATTTTGGGCTACCCTTATGAAACCAATCACCACCTTTGTTACTTTGGAGTCAGGAGTGATCGTATTTGAGCAAGTGTCTGTGTGAGGCCTAATATGAACTACCTGATTCAGCAAGTCCTTTCAAAAGTGATAAAATTAGCTAATATACCATGATAACTTTTGGAGAAATTTATTTAAGGGATTTAATGAGAGGAGTTGACACATTTTGAACACGAGTCTAGTGGAGCTAAAGATTAGGTTGGCTGATTTCATTTTTGTGACCTGGAAAGCACAGCCACTCATTTATAGACAGTGCATGAACGTGCTATACCCCGTGGAAGAAGACCTGCTTCCTCTGTAGATATGTAAACTTGTTAAGTCAAACTCGTGTTATGGTTCAACACCTGATTATGAGATAGATCCCACCTGTGAAACTCCAGTCAGGAGAGTGTTCCCTACTATACACTCACTCTGTGAAAACTGATGAATATAAACTGAAATTTTAAAACCAATTTTGGGGTGTCTGCCATGTAGCTGCTGTAAAGAATGTTTAAACATGACCGAGTTTGGACCATGTGGACCATGAGTTTGGATCCAGAGGAAGCATGGTTACATTTACAGGTAACTAAATCAGTCAGGAGACAGGTGAGCATTGGGAAAGGGCACATGTTCCATCAATGTTCCAGCTCTATTTATCCTCAGAGTGCATTGTGCATAATGAAATAATATATCCAGATGCGTCTAAACCCTTTTCCTTTGTGTGGACAACCATACATTTGTTGTGTTCTGTGTGAATGGTGTGTACTGCGTGTCAACCCTGTGTGGCTCTGGCAGTGTCCTCATAGCCTTGTCTGAGCCTCAGGGATGTAGATCTCGATGCTGTCAGCGCTCTCTGTAGCTGAGTTTTGTCGTACAGATGCTGCTCTCTTGGCGGCCATCAGGCGCTTCCTGGCCTCCTGCCGCTGTTTCTCTGAGCTTTCCAGTGAGCGGTCTCTGGCCAGAGGGGGGTGATGATGGGGCCCCTTGGGTGGCTTTTTTGGCACTGGAGGTGGGAGCCGCCTTTCCTGGGAGGGGGATGGTAGGAGGGAAGGGCAGAACATTTCAGGAAAAAGACATACTTATTTGTGTGTGTGTGTGTGTGTGTGTGTGTGTGTGTGTGTGTGTGTGTGTGTGTGTGTGTGCGTGTGCGTGCGTGCGTGTGTGTGTGTGTGTGTGTGTGTGCGTGCGTGCGTGCGTGCGTGTGTGTGTGTGCGTGCTAATGTATGCCTAGGAATGAGAATGAGTTAAGATGACTTCCATTCTGTAGAATTCTGCATGAGTCACCCACTGATTATCAGAATCTTTCCATTTTCTCTTTCAAATAAGGTTTTTTGGTTGCTGTGTAACAATCTATATGCTTGAAGACAGCTGAAGTCATACCTCTGACAGAGACATGTATTTGTCTGAACAAACAAGGCTTTGGCATGATTGTAAGCTAGATATGTTCAAGTGAGAAAGGGTCCTTTTGTCTGTGTGCATGCATCTTTCCTATCTATCATGTGGCAAGGACTGCTCCTGCACATATGACATTTTCTTTATTTCCTTGCAGGACTGATATAGCTCCAATTTATTCAATATTTAGATTCCACTCTATGGCACCATAAATGTCCTGAAATAATTATTTTATAGCTCTGTGCTTCAGTCTTTTCTCTTCATTTTTACACTTCCTGCTGATCCCAGCTATTAAAATGCGAGTACCGTCTCATTTTAATTGCTAAAAATATGAACTGAAGGCGGGCTTGAAAACAAAACTTTCGACAATTTTGCTAAAATTATTGCTGCTCTTTAAGCTAGCTAAATTACAAAAATCATATAATTGAAATGATACAATTAATAATGGCAAAGGCAAAAAACGTTCCCTTTTTGAACGTGGTCGGGTTGTTGAACTGCATAAGCAGTGAGGTGGGACGCAGTAAGACAGTCATTTGGACTTTCTTAAATGATCCTGGTGGCTAAAAAGTCAAGTGGAAGACCCCAAAAAATGTCTCAGCACTGAGCCAGACAATATAATTGGCTGTCCATCAAGGCATTGGACGATCCTCGACCCAAATTAAGGCCGTTACTGGTGCAGCCCCATAACCATCAGACTGCATTTGAGACTGAAGGGCTTCAAAAACAAAACAAGGCCTCGTCTCCCTGAACGCCACACAACTGACCCTTTGCACCAAACATGGGACACTGAAAGGTGGAGGAAAGTTTTATTCTCTGATGAGAAAAAACGTAACCTTGATGGTCCTGATGGTTTCCAACGTTACTGGGACGACAAGCAGATCCCACCTGAGATGTTTTCTACACGCCACAGTGGACGGGGGTGCCATAATGGTCTGGGGTGCTTTTCCTTCAGTGGAGCAATGGAGTTCAGGGGTGCAGGGGCGTCAAACGGCCACTGGCTATGTCCAGATGTTGCAGAGCATCCCTCATGACTGAGGGCCCTCGTCTGTGTGGTAACAACTGGGTTTTTCAAAAGGACAGTGCTACAGTGCACAATCCCCGCTGGACAAGGGACTTCTTCCAGGAGAATAATATCACCCTGCATGTTCCCCTGATCTAAATCCAATTGAGAACAGTAGATGCCCTTCGTGCGGCCGTCTTCACCACTCACTTCATGGAAAAGCTTGCATCAAGCATGCCGCAACAAATTTCCAAGTGCTCAACAATAACGGTGGAGCTACTCATTACAGAGTTCATGTTTGGAACTTTGATTTCTGTTTGGGGGGGGGGCCTTACAGGTTTTTTGGAGGTGTGGGCCTAACCTTTTGATCAGCTGTAAAACAGCCTGTTCCAGTTTTAGTGTTGTTTTCAATAAATTGCAGGCTCAAAAAATGTTTTGCTCCCATTTCTTCTTGTTGCATGTTGAAGCTCTACTTGGAACCTTGTTAAGATCCAACCATGCAAAATATGATTTTTGGCCATTTCTTAAGTGGTCTTAAACTTTTGATCGGGACTGTACTAACTAAATGGAAAGATATGCAAATAAAAATCTGCTATTGATTGAAGTAACAGAAGAATGAGAAGACTTGCTGTGTACATTGGAAATAAAATATTTGAATTATACTTCAATCATAAAGGGTTAGCCTGAGCTTCATTTCCTTATAAATGCACCTACTGTGAACTGGTGTGTAGCAGTTTGATGTCCTGTAAAATGTTTTAGCCACACAACAAACAAAGCAAAAAGCCACAGACAGGAAGGTGGCTGTAAGTGAAAGAAGGAAGCAAGAGCAGAGAGCAGCATGGATAGATGGATGGAAAGACAGACATGATGAATCCTAGGAGGCCCACAGGGGTCAAGGCCTTGTGCTGTTGGCATTGCTCTTATGTTGACTGATGTTTGCAAGCACCTTCACTGTCAATACACACACAAAAAAACACACACAAGAAAGAAAAAGACAACAATGAGAGCAAATTAAAAAGCCAGTTAATATTCACAATGATGCTGAACATCTGCAACATTTACAGATCCACTCACACGTATGCACAGGCAACAGTATCTGTATAACCACAGAAACCTCAGCTGTCATTCACATTAATGATAAAAGTTTTTTTCTTGTTCTTTTTTTTCAAGTGGGGAAGGGGGCAAAATTGTCAGATGCTTTTGTTTTTTGTGACTTTTGTTAGGACACCCTGCCAACTTTACATGGATAGAGATTTTAAGCCAAAACATGATTTTTTTTCCTGACATTTTCTCAGTTTTTGTAAACAAGGAAAATCAAAACATGATACCAGAGTGATTGCAAAAATAATTCCACACCTACACTCTTTGGTGAAAGTACAGTAATTATGCTGTTATTGTTATTTAGATAATCTCTACACAGAAAAACCCTTACACAACCTGTGAACCTTAAGGGATGTTCCAAAGTAGGTCACCATCCAAAGTAATGAGTAGACGCTCCTATTTCCCCTACTGCTGCCTTCACTGAGTCTGACACTCAAAGACTGTGTTCATTTTATTCTGCTAACAGTGAAACATTAGTGTAGGCTCACCTTACATCTGAGTTAAAGGTGTGAGAGTGTCAGCATAACTTATAACTTCATGACTGGTATGAATGCAATTTGCAATTTGTACACTGGCTGTTTAATGTGTAGGTTCCAGGTTGGACTCTCTGTTGCCTTCAGAATTGCCTCAATTCTTCATGGCATAGATTCAACAAGTTGCCGGAAACATTCCTCACGATATGTGGGTCCCATTCTACCACATCCTATATTAGATTGAGATCTGGTGACTGAGAAGGCCATTTGAGAATACATTCAAATCACCTTTCGTCCACATTCCGATGCTCAGCAGGACATCTTGACCATGTTGACATGTCTACATGAACTGAGCTGCTCCTATGTGATTATCCGGTTAGATATTTGCAAGGAGTTGAACAAGTATACCTAATAAATTGGTTGGTAAACATATATGAAATAAATGGACTGGTTTCTTTTGTTACTCACGATCAAACATATTAATATGTCATACAATTAACATCAGTGGATGCACGTCTGAGAGGGGCTTAAGAACACACATGAATAAGGACCTTAAAATGAACAGTTTGTGTAATAGTAACTGTTAAAAAAGGCAAAGTGCTTTCAGTTTGCAATCTTGTAAACCCTGGACAGATTAAATCAAGTATAAGAAACAGATCCTGGTTGTCACACTGAATATTTTTTCATTTTTATCTGACTGTGTTTGCTCATGTTCAGTATTTAAGCCTTCCAACAACTTTGCAGGCACATTTATGTCACTAAGCAGTCTGACATCATCACACTCAGACCCCTGTGAGTTCAACAGTTAGATGCTTAAAACAAACAGATCCAGCAACATTTAACTTTTTGGATCTTCAACAATCATCATGACTTTTTTACAGAACATGACAATAACAAGGACTGTACTATCATAGAGCCAGATGGTTTTTTCTGATTACAGTCCTGGGGGAGACAATTGTTTTAGTGTTGCTTACTTTTCTCTGATGTCAACACAGTGAACCAAGTTTTTATATTATTTTTATTTTTTTAAATCATTAAGTCGGACATGAAGTCTGACAGAGTCACATGAGGTTTGCTTTAGGCTGTAACAGAGGCACGTCACTAGAAGGTTATCTGTAGCTTTCAGTCATTTGAGAGTTATGGAAAACTGCTTGCTCTAAGATTCTGTGCTGTCATGACTCAAACCTTTATTTTCAATATTTACACTTAGCTTAAGGTTAATTATTTTAATTAAATGCAGGTACCATGTCAAGTCTAGTGTATTGTGTATATATCAACTGAACTTGTGTAAAACTGACTTAAATAGTATTTAAATATATAAATAAATATAATAAATGCATTATTATTATTATTATTATTTTTAATATTATAAGTCAAAATCATGATGTGTAGCCACACATATTAGTTTTAGGAATGTTTTGAGCAGGAATCTTTGACCTCTAATGTGTCAGCAGTGAATGCTTAAAAAGGTTTGAAGGAACCGACAGAGGTCATCTTTTGGCAAGTAATGCAGTGAAAGAGCTGGATCAGCAATCATGTAGCCAATGGATGATGGAAGTTGTGAATGTACCTTTCTGTCTGGGGGATCCAAGGGCCGCCAGTTGTTGGCTCTGAGCTGGTGAAGCTCATCAAATTTGAGGCTTATGTTCTCGATTGACAACTGAAGCATATCCCAAAAACCGGCCAGATCTGAGGCTACTGGACGAGGGTGGGCTTTGGGGTTCTATGACAGTAGATAAGCAGGAAGAATAGAAAAAAAACAAGAAAATGAATAAAAAGTTGTTATACACACTCTCATGTTAAACTTTGTATATATAGTATCTCAAAAAACTTGTCTGTGAATTCTGTCTGTGTATTGTAAATATTCTCACTCTTTTCTATTCTTACTCTATCTCTATTCAAGTACAACACTCCCGTACTTATTCTTAGTTTATCTTATTTCTGTATGGTTGTTTAAATGTATATTTGAATTTTTTCATTTTCATTTTATTATTTTTACACACATTTGATCCAGGAGGACAATATTTCGTCCCACCGCATACTTGAGCGTATATATTGTTGGGCTGACAATAAAACACTACTTGACTTGACTTGAAATAGTAAAAGATACTGGTATGCAGTTATAGAAATATATGATGACATTTTGTATGATAAGCTTGGCATTAATTACCATTTGCCATTACTAATATTTTATTACATTCAGTTGATCAGTCAATCAAATATTCACTGTATAATCAAAGTAAAGGTTTTTTCTTCAGTAAATGAAACAATTTAAAAGGTTAAACATTAGAAAACACAAGAAAAATATTGGAAAATTTGAAATTAAAAAGCTCATTAAAAGGAAAAGGAAGAAATGAAATTTAAAAATTTTTTTTTTTAGTTAGAAGAAACAAAACGCTTTCCACTGCTTCAGACTCACCAGGTTCTCCTCACACAGCTCCCTGAACTGCTCAAACTTCTGGGACATCAGAAGCTGAGCACTTCCCATAGCACTTCTCATCTTCTCTAGGACTATAAGCACAGACACAGAGCTTAGAAAGAGACTCTTCTACATATTGATCTGTTCTTAACATGCACATACTACAACATCACTGATTGGCAACTAACAAATTTGTTTAAGCCTCAGGAGCTTTTCTGAGAGCTTGACATTTGAACCTACTCTGTAACTCTGTGTAACCCTGTCCCATTAAATGCCATTGCTCTTGATGCTCAATTTTATGACTGTTTGAATTTGTTTTACATACCAGAGCTGACTACCTGGTCACACACAATCCTGAGGACTATATTATTATTTACAGTAGTGTAAAATTAGAATATCTTGGAACCATTCGTATTTTTCTGATTTTAACGCAGAAAAGTAAACTGTCACATAAACTACATTCATTACACACAAAGTACAATATAGTCATTGCATCAATGGCTAACAATAACTATAATAAATATAATATATATACAATATATTTACACTACCAGTCAAAAGTTTTGGAATACTTTTCCAATTTTTTTCTTGTAAATTATGCAGTTTAGCGTCTAATTGCACTCTGAAATGAAAGCAAATCACAAATAAGCAATTGGAGTTAAAAATAATCATGGAATCAATTTATAGATCAAAGTGTATTCTAAACTTTTGACTCATCAAAGTAGCCTCCTTTAGTAGATATAACAGCTGTACACACCCGTGGCATTCTTTCTACAACAGAAATCAGATATTCTTCAGAAAGTTCTTCCCATATCTGCTGCAGAAGTTCCCATAAATGTGGACCTTGTAGGTTGCTTTGCTTTCACACTTCTGTTCATCCCAAATCAGCTCGATGGGGTTTAAGTCCGGAGACTGAGACACTCCGTGTTTTCAAGCTTACCATCTTCTTTTTTCCTGAGGTAGCTCTGGCATAGCTTGGACTTATGTTTTGGTCCTTATCTTGTTGTAGGATGAACCCCTGACCAACTATAGGTGCATACCAGAGGGTCCTGCATGGGCCTGCAGAATGCTGTGGTAGCTGTTTTGGTTCAGGGAGCCTCTCACTCTGTACAAGCTGCTGACCCTGGATCCAGCAAACAGCCCCAGACCATCCCACTTCCCCCTCCATGTTTGACAGTTGATGCCACACGCTGTTGAACCATCCTTTCACCTCCTTGTTGGCGTACAAAAATCCTGCGTGGTGAACCGAAGATTTCAAATTTTGCTTCATCACTCCGTAATCCAGTCTTCAGTAGTGTAATGGCGGTGTTTCATGGCCCAGGCACGTCTCTTTGTCTTATTCTGATGTCTTAGCGATGGTTTTCTTGCTGCAACTCGTCCTGTTAAACCTGCAGCTCGGATCCTTCTCTTCACAGTTGAAACTGAGACTTGCTTATTACGAACACTATTAAGCTGTTATTAAGCAACCTCAGTCCACCTCTTGTGAATCTCTCTCAAGTAATTGACACTTTTCTTGGCAATCTTCCTAAGGCTGCAGATGTCTCTATTACTTGTGCACCATTTGCTAGCAGACTTTTCCCTTCCATTAGTATGCTTCCATACAGCACTTTGTTAACAACCAATCTTTTCAGCAGTGACCTTCTGCAGCTTTAGGACCCAATATACTCGCTATATTGGTCATGTTACCATTTATCGAGCACTGAGGGCAAAAGTACTTTTCCAGAAAGCCTAATCTTATCAAACTGTTTCACACTCTGTGCGCTATATAAATAAGATTTAATTGAACTGATATATCATCACAATGGAGGTAATACACTGTATTTATAGTATTTCAGTAGCAGTTGACTCAAACGCAACTTATTGAATGAGATTCTAGGAAACAATCAAATTTATATGTTGCCTCCTAAACCTCTGGAAGAGGATTCAAGCATTAGGAAAGCACACACACACGAAGGATGGGGTCTGAGAGAGATTTTTTGACATGAAGAACAACAACAACACACACACACAAAGACGTACTGTCCTCAGGCAGGTCATTCTCCCGCTGGTCGAGTTCCATCTGTCGACACCAGCCTTCCATGCGGTCGGTTTCAGCCTGCAGCAGCTTCAGAAACCACCGTCCGTCTCTCTGGCAAACTGATCTCTGCACCACCTGCCATTTAAATAATGAAACTCACTACAGAAAACTGTATACTGTACTTTCTACAGGGTTGATAAGTTAGTTGTAATTCACGTCACAAGAATTTAGCCTTGGCCATGAGGACACTCCTGAAACCCAAGCTGCCCCCATCTGTATGTGCACGATAGAGAAAGTGCTGTTTTATTGTGCTATGTTAAATAAATATATAACATATAAAATCAGAGAAAGTGCATCTACATACATACACAAATAAATACGCAAACAATAATAATTTCCCACTTGCCCAGTTTGGGGGTCACTCCCTCAAGTGCTAAGATTACCACGGGGACTCCAGTTGCCTTGACCCGCCACATCTTCTCTAGCGTTTCTCTCTGCCCTTAGTATTTGGTAGCGAGCTTCTCAGGATCCTTCTTCCTAATGCTATCACTTAGTATAGATACAACTATCACTATGGCCATCTTCCTCTGCTTGTCCACTACCACTATGTCAGATGGCTAATCCATCACCAGTTTGTCCATCCGTATCTAGAAGTCCCACAGGACTCGGTCATTCTCAACCACCCTGGGGGACGTCTCCCATTTTTGCCTCAGGACTTCCAGGTCATACTCGACACAGATGTTTCTGTATAATATCCAAGCCACGTGGTTATGGTGTTACATGTATGCCTTGCCTGCTAGAATCTTGCCGTTATGTGCTGGATTGTGTCAGGGTCTTTGCACAGCTAGCACCTAGGGTCTTGCCTGGTGTGGCAGACCCCAGCCTCTACACTTATAGGTTGTTGCTGTTTTACCAGGGTGTCTGCTGTCTTTTAGTCCAGCTTTGTCCAGGAATTAGTAGGATATTTTATATCAGCCACTTCTACCTGCTGGTGGTACATGCCATGCAGGGACCCATTGATGGATTCTTATCTTAATAAAGGTTATCTTAATTCAATTCAATTTTATTTATAAAGTGCCAAATCACAACAACAGTCGCCTCAATGCGCTTTACATTGTAAGGTAGACCCTACAATAATACATACAGAGAAAAACCCAACAATCATATGACCCCCTATGATCACGCACTTTGGCGACAGTGGGGAGGAAACATTTTATTAACAACAAGAAACATCCAGCAGAACCAGGCACAGGGAGGGGCGGGGCCATCTGCCAATCAAGTTTAAAGTTTCAAAACTCTAATTTGCAGCAGTCTCCTTAGATTGAAACAGCACCACTGTGAGTCAGTCTGAGCCAGAAAATACTGAAGTTTAATAAAAATAATACTTTTATCGATCTGTGTGTTAAATCAACAGATTAAACATGAATAAATTATTCATTCTATTCAATCTAAAAGACTCAAATTAGGCTTAAAACGTTCCTTTTTGATAAAGCATAGAGTTATGGTGCAATAGGTGTAGTCTGCTCAGGGTTTCCCATGATGCACTGAGTATTTCTTATTTGCTCAACTTTTTTCACTCACTATGTGTTTGCACACAATTCTGTGTTTAATCATTAGTTATTATTAATCTCTTGCCCTCTTCCACAGCATGTCTTTGTCCTGTCTTCCTCCCCTGATGCCATAGAGAAAGAAAAAGATTTATCAAAGGAGCTGTGGGAGAAGATAATTTGAACTTTATAAAACAGGAAAAGGACGTAAAAAGGTATCCAGACAATTGTAGTGTTCAAACTCTAATTAAGAAGTAGAATTATGGTGAAACCAAGCCACGGACAGGTACACCAACAAAAGCTTCAGCCAAAACTGCCAGAAAATTGCAAAGAAAAACCCACAAATAACCACAGCGGACATACAGGACTCGCTGAAAAAAAAAAAAGAGGGGCACTTGAAGAACAATGGGCTACATGGTCCCCAGATGAAAACCACAACTGCACTAATGCCCCAAAGCAGCCTATTTACAATATGCTAAATAACTCGGAAGCAAGCCTCATTACCGGGATGGATTACTTACATTGGGGATTTGGGGATGTATGAGCTACACAGGCACAGGGAACCTGTCCAAAATTGATTTCAAGATTAATCCAGCATGTTATCAGAAAATACTGGAGGAAAATTTGCACTCCTCAGCCCGCAAGCTGTCAATGGGATGCACATGTACATTCCAACATGACAATAATCAAAAACACAAGACTAAATCCACCTTAAATTCTTACAGGATAAAAAGTAAATATTCTAGAGTCGCCATCCCAGTCTCCTGATTACAATGTCATTGAGCCACTTTTGGGATATCTCAAACATGTAGGTCATGTAAGACAGCCCAAGGATTTACAGGACCTGGAGGCATTTTGCCAAGAAGAATGGACAGCTTTACCATCTGCGAAAATAAAATGCATCATCCACAACAACCACAAAATACTTCAAGCAGTCATTGAAGTTAAAGGAGGCAATACACACTATTAAGAACTAGGGTATGTAAACTTTTGATCAGGGTCATTGGGGTAGTTGGGTAGTTTTTTTGACAATGGTGTCATCCAACCACTAACCATTAGTGAAAGAAAAGCTTTTGTATTAGCATCCATATTCTCTAGAGGAGGGGTCGGCAACCCTGGGCACGTGTGCCAGCTAAGGGTTAACTGATGGCACGACAATAGCTGGATTGGCCATCGGGCATACCGGTGGCCAGTCCATTGTTCAGTTGTTTGGTGGTGACTATGGCTTCCACAGAGGCAGCAGGTGGATGAGGGAAAGGGGAGGCAGGAGGAGGAGAGCCCCGAGGCAGCTGCAGGTCCGAGTGTCAGGTGAACTGAACTTCAGGTAAGAAGTTATGACCTGCAGTCTATCTGGGTCAGATATAAACCAAGTTTAGGTGGAGTTTGTTTTCGTTGTGCTGACTTTTTACAGTCAGTTACAATAACTACTGCGTACTAGCTAGCATGACGGAGTTTCCATACAGCTGGGTGGGTGCGATAATGTTACTGATAGTGAACTTTATTTTATTCATAAGGTTAGTTAGTAGAGTTGCCAAATGTTCCGTAAAAAACTGAATCGTCTCGTATTCAGAGAAAATATTACGCGTTTCATGTTGAGCTGAAAAAGAACAGTTTGTCCCGAACTTCAGCTAGAATGAAAAAGACACAAAGCTGGAGTTACTCTGTGTTTACGCTGCACAGCTGCCTCTTCTTCTCTCATTCTCTCTCCCTCTCTCTCCTGTTGCTACTTTAATCATGAAACTGATCAATGATCAGCTGATCGGCTTTTCTCTCTTGTTTGTTTATCGCCCACTTTGCGCCAGAAAGAGGAAACCAGCGGATGTCGCGCTAAACAACAGCAGCACGTTTAAGCTTGATCAGCTGTTGTTAGAATTTATTTAATATTACTTTCTAGTATCAGCTGATGTTTGCTGGAGCCACAGCTGTAAAGCTGCTGGTCATGATATGGTTTGGTTATCTGGTGAGAGGGAAACATGAAGATGAAACCAGGAGATGTCCTTACTGAACCATCAGAGCTGAACAGGTGATGGAGAAACAGGTTTACCTTTTAGGTGACATGAATGAGTTGAAGGGAAGTTATGAACTGTTTCTGAGAGACAAATAACACCAGGATCCTTTTCTAAGCAGCTGACAGCTGGTAACTGTGCAGGGGCGGGCCTAGCAAAGTGTTGCCAGGGGGGCAGGTAGGGCATTAACAGGGAGAGGGGGGCACAAAGAAATACTTTCTTATTTTCATTTAAAATGTCTCGCTTTTATTAATTAATGATCTGAAGCTTACAACCAAAGTTTTTATTAGATGTAAAATGTATAGAAATCATACATAGACCAACAAGACTGTGTGCATTACTGTCACAACAGCGTTTGTTTTCATTCAAAGGGTTTGTGGCTTTTCCTGTAATACCTGGTGGGCCGGTCTCTAGTCAAAATCCCCGGGCCGATGTTTTGTCCCAGTCCAGCCCTCGGCACAACAGGTGTATTAGGTGTATGGACCAATGTTTTCTTTTTTAATCAAATCAAAAAGCTTTAATGAGCAGCTGGATTTGTCTCGCATTAACTGGTTGGACACAGAGGACATCGAAATGCAGCTGATTGAACTGAAAAGCTCGACTCTGTGGGGGCCAAAGTTTGCAGAACTACGAAAGCAGCTGGAATCCACAGCTGTGCGTGTTCATGGAGCTGCATGTTCATCACTACCTGACAAGGTTAACTGTCTTCAGAACATTGCAGAGGCCTTATTGACAGTATTTGGCTCTACATATCTGTGTGAGCAGATTTTCTCTCACATGAGTCCTCAGGTCGCCGTCTGAATGCTGGACACTCGGAGACCTGTGTCTCTGAGTGGGAGACCAGAGATCACATTAACATGTGTGTCTCTGTATTAACAAACATGCCATATTGGCCCAGTTTATTTTTCTTATCATTGTTGTGAGGAGGCCATAAACATAAAAAAACATAAAAAGTCTTTTTTTTTTTCAAAATAGCTGATAACTATTCGCTGATAGCTGCCAACATCTGCCAACAAATATAATTCTATTCTAAGTTTTTCTATATATTGTGTAACTGTTAATATACAGCGTTATTACATCTATTGCTAATGCAATCATATGGCACATTGACTTCTGAGGGAATTTTAGATGGCACTCATCATCAGAAAGGTTGCCGACCCCTGATCTAGAAAATAGGCAAAACTTATGAGCGCAACTGTAAATGTAATGTAAAACTAAAGTTAACCAAATAGTATCACTGAATATTCTCCCACATACCTCCAGTATAGCAGAACTGTTGAAACTGACATCAAGTTGGTCATCTGTTACACTGTCTATCCATGGGTCTGGAGGGGGAAGGATGGATGGGTCAAAGCCCACATCCTCATAGTCATCAGAGGCACAGGCATGGTAGTGGTTCCCTGAGCCCTGGATGCTGACGGTGGAAGTGGTGGCATCGCGGGAATATTGCCGAGGGATGGCACGAGATGACAGTATTTCCATGTCAGTGTCCGGGGAGTTTATAGGTGTGTCTAGTAGGTCTGGCATGTCCAGATCTGCCTGGATGGAATAATGAGTACAGAAATCAGTGGATTTGTGAGCAGTGCAGGTCTGTTATACCTGTTTGCATTTGTTGCTAAATGATGTTCACCCTCATTTAGAGATGAAGTGAAGGGGCCATAAAAAAAAAATCAACTGACTTCCTCAGAAACAGATGATGTTTTTTACAAGTGTAATATGTTTAATGAGTATAACGGAGTAGGCCCAAATTTGGTTATTTTTATTAGTTTTTTGGCTTTTTTTACTTTACTTTTGAGGAAATTTTCAAATGAAAAGACGATTTCTACTCGATTAAAACTGCAACCAAATACCACCGCAATCTCAAGCCAAAATTGATCTTTTTAAAGCTCAACATTTGTTCTTAAGTAGCTTTGAGCATCAATAATCAGTGTAGCATCATGTGCTATGTCATAGTTTCAATACCAAAACTGCACCAACCGAATGTCTGTCATGTCAACTAACAGAAAAAAGCACTGATGCCCTCAATAATTAATTATTTTATGACATTTCATCTTAAAAAAACCCAAAACTGCATTTTGGATAAACTTTTAAAGAACGATATCACCATTTGAGTTCGGTGCCTATATTCTTGTTTTACATTTTGTTGCCAGGCTCATCTTCAAGCTGTGATTGATTGATTGTTTGAAGGTTGAGCGCCTTCAAATATTGCACAAATACAAGAAAGCAGTCCTACATATGTGTTTATTATATGCACTGAAGGGAATGTACTGGTCAAAAATTACTCCGAAATTCCTCACAGTGTTTCTGGAGGGCAAGGTAACGCCATCCTGCGAGTATCCAGAAAGTAAGAAACGAAAGAAAGGGTTTTGTTTGGGTATTCCTCGACTACAAGGACTTCAGTAAAAGACTGTTATCCTTTGAATACTAATAGATAAAAAAAGGCTCTCAGAGTAGGTAATCCAGCACAAAAAATGTAGCATTCATAAAGCTCCATAATTGGCTGCAAGTGAATACTATGTGAATTAAACTGTAAATATATATATTTTCTGATTATAACAGAAATAGTGACAAACAAACAAAAGACATATGTGCCTTTTTAAATGTAAATATCTCATAAGCTAAGAGGCATCATTGATCTCAAGCAAACTGCCAACTCTTGGACCATGTTCTGGTTCAGTATAGTATTTCTCATGTTTTTAAAATATGGGTGTTTTGTTAAAATATAGCCAGTGCATTTCTTTTACCTTGCAGCTCTGGTGCAGGTTTTTCTTTAGCACTGCTTTAAACTCAAAGCGACCAGTGTGTCTCAAGGAAGCTGCAAGCATTATTTTGTATGGGTGCAGTCGGTACCAAAACTTACCTGCACAGCTGCTGTCACACTATTGGAGCGCTGGAACCGACGATACCTGAGCATCAGAGGGGGAAAAAAGAATAAATACTAGAATAAAATTTCTGCCCTCTGCTTTCAGAGAACATACGTCTTCACATACACATCTTTAAAATGTTGTAAGTTTACATTTGCACTAGTCTATTCTTTTTCCATCTAACAATTACTACTTTTTTGTTTGGAGATTTGAGGTTCCCTGTGACTCTAGGATGTCAGTTGTGAGAAGAGGTGTAAAATGAATGCTACCAGAGGTTATAAAAGATTTTCTAAATGCATTAGTGCCATCTGAGCTTAACTGTTCAGTGCTCCAATAAAAGAAATAAAAAAGTTGCAAGTAGCGCAAAATAAGGATGAAGTAGCTGCTTGTAAATTAGATGCATCATAATCTGGGCTGGCTTACAGTTTGACACTGTCAGTTTTGCTAAATCAACAGTCTTTCTCCACCATCATGACAGAAAAAGTTATGCTTTTCCAAACTGTTTAGATACAGCTGAATGTTTGTATCTTGGTCACATCCAACCTGGAGACCCTGAAGCAGATAACACATGCTTAAATGGTCTTAAGGGGTATCAAACTAGCACATTAAATGGCTACAAATACACAACCCATGTCCACTAGTAGATGGGATGTTAGGATGCTGAAAACCTGGATTATGAAGGATTCTTCCAGACTCAAAAGACAGAGGATGAATGAATGAAATAACTTGTGTAAGTACTGCTTCCCTTGCTTGCACTCTCAGAGGAAAAGCACACAGAAAAAAACATGCTGGAGAAAACAAAAGAGAACATTTAAAACAGTCAACTGTTTGAAATGTGCTTCCCAGTAATAGCTTCAAAGAAATGTATAAATGACAAAAGAAGTAGAAAAGAGGGCTATTGTGTTATTGTGTTTAGATACATTAGGCTAAATCCAACAAAAAAAGTCTCACCCTCTGTCATCTTCCACTTGCACACCTACAGAGGTGAACTTGGAGGGGTCCTCTGGATCCGGAACATCCTCTGGTCCGTCAACCTAGAGGAGGCAAAAAGAGCAAAACTAAAAATAATCACAACAATAAGCTTCATAAAAATGAATATGCATTTCTTTATGTAAAGGAGACCCAAGACAGATTACAGATTAATAGCAGATCTAGAATTTTTAGAAAAATAGTAATAGTCATCGTAACAAAGAGGTGAAACAGACCCCTACTTTGTGTGAAGCTTGTTAAATATTCTCTATCCAGCAGGGTAACATGTGGTTCTTAGCAGAAATGAAAACACAGATAAACAAGCTCCACATAATTTATAAGTAACTGAAGCTCAATATTTCGTTGACCGTGATCTCACGTATACCTGGATGCCTATGGAGAGACATTTTCCCTTCCTGAACGCATCTTTCCTATAATCATCCCGGTGGTCTTCAACTACTTGCCCCCTGCTCAGGATTGAGGGGATGGTGGTGTTGACTGTCATGGTGCTATTGTTGACATGCTGACTGGCTGGTCCGTGGACCTATGCAAGAATATTGAGAATACTGTAAATACAATATTCAGTAAGACAATAAAAATACAGTGTATTCTAGCTGAAATTGGAAAATATTTGTGGGTGTTTATTACGACGATGCTTACAGTAAAAACTAAAGCACTAAAGCACTGACCTGAGCATTAGCAGCCTCTATGGCAGCTGTCAAGGCCTTCATGCTGTCAATGCTTTCTGTGGAGTTACTGAGCCCTGATTGGATGGTCATGTCACCTCTAGGTCCCTCTTCTTCCATGTAGGCATCCTGGTTAGTTTTAGAATACACAGTCATTTTAAGACAAGTTATATCACACACCTTCATCCATCCATCCATGAATAAAACCATGAATGAGCTGATGAACATTACCTGATGCTGCTGAAGTGAAGCAGAGTAAAGTTACAGAGGTCTTATTAGAGACACAGTTAAGCATTTTGCAATTTGGTAGAATTTGTAAAAGTTTAAATTTCTTCGGTATTGAACAGCAGAAATTAGGCATTCTTGTTGGAGGTCATTTTGGGGGAAAAAACCAGCAGCCAACAGCACCATACACAACAGTAGACTGGTGCTTAATAAGCAGGCGAATAATGCAGAAAACAGAGATTTGAGATGGTCAACTGTTCTTGAAGTACAAGAAGCTGGTGGTGGAAGCGAAACGGCAAAAGTTTTTAAAAGCGCAGTTTTTATATTCTTTTGTGCTGGTCCAGTGAATTTTGGTCAGAGAGTGACAAAACCTGCAAAATCTGTGAGATGTTGCCCTTTAGCACCCGACGTGCCCGTGTACACGCCGTTGGGTGAACGGGGTGACCGTGCTCTGTGTTTACATCTTTTTAGTGGAATCCGTTACCTGCTCGCATTTGCTGTTTTAGCTGTTTGGCAGTTGTTAAAATAGTTTTGTAAGCTTTAGCCTGAGATTCTGGCGTTTCTGGCAAAATACATTTATATTTAAAAAATTATTCAGGATTTAATGAATTGAAATCGCTTTATTCAAACTAAAATCGATTTGAACCAGGAAAATCCATTTTTTATACCCATCCCCAATCCTGGTACCCCATGCACTTATGGACATCCTTATGTTCGAACATGGTCTTCGTTATGGACAAACTGCACAAAAGACCAGTAATAAAACACCACCAAGATTCAGATTAGTTCTCTCAATCACACCACTCCACATCTCGCTGTTGTTGCCCATGTGAGCGTTGAAGTCTCCCAGTAGCACAAGGGAGTCACCATCAGAGGGGATACTCCCAAGAGCATCCCAATGTACCCACAAAGGCCAAGTCCAGTCTGGAACAGAGTCCAGCCCTTGTCCAGGAAACTAGTTTCAGAGCCCAAGCCATGTGTTAAGCTAAACCTGACTATATCTAGCTGGTATCGCTCAACCTCATGCACTAGCACATGCTCCTTTCCCACCAGTGAGGTGACATTCCATGTACCAATAGCCAGCCTTGATTGTTGGGGATTGGACTGCAGGGCCTCCTTCATTACATGAAGTTCATCGATCATCAAATTATTTATCTGTTATTGGGAACAGGTTCTTAGTATTTGTGCCTCTGTGCATCACCACAGTGAATTTTAAACAAGACCCTTAGCTTTAACTCAGGGGATTTACCAAAAGTATTGTATTAACAGATTAGAAACTACATTCCCCTATTTTCAGATACCCGAAAATAATTGGACAAGCATGTTCAAGTGAGACCTACTCCCTCATTAGTTTATAACCAATTCAGAAGATAAGAGATCTGGAAATGATTGCACTCAATAGCAATCATTTATGTGCAGGAACTCTCAACATGAGGTTCATGCACATAAAGGAGGCCATCACTAGGCTGAAAAAACAAAATAAACCTATCAGAGAGATACCACAAAGTTTAGGAATGTATAAATCAGGGGTGTCAGATGGTCTGCTGGAACAAGTAATGCACTGCCCAACTCTGTAACCAGGATGACCAGATTATCCAGAAAACATCTAAAAGTGCAGTTCTGTAAAAATAAAATCTTTAGACAGATGAAACTCATGAACAACTCATTGATTCAGTTCTATTTCTACTGGGTCAATTCACAGCAACAGTCGCCTCAAGTCATAAGCTAAAGAAGATAACATCATCTGTCAACCAGGCAATGTTATGACATGAAGATGTATGTCTGCCAGTGGAACTGAATAAATAGTGTATATTGATGAATTATGTGACTGCTGAGCAGGGGTATAGTCAGATTTAGACTAATGGTACAAAACGGATTGGATGATTTTTCACAGTGGAAATTAATAATGACCCTCAAAGCAAAGAAATAGAATATTCTTCAGTGACAAATCAGTCATCTGATCTCAACCAAAGAGGACAAAACTGAAGGCAGACGAGACCCACAACAAGCAACAACTGAAGGTCACTGCACAAAGGTCTGGCAGAGCATCTCAAGGAAAAAAATACAGCACATGATGATATCCATGGGATCTAGACTTCAGGGAGTCAATGACCTGAAAGGACTTTCATCCAAATATTAAAATTAATTCCTATGTTTTAAATTGTGTTGAAAATGATGGACTGCGTATAAAAACAGTTAATGCAGGTTTTTTCTTTTTTTTACTAAATTCCAAATTATGGACGAAACTGCACAAGACCTAGTGTGAATGCAAGCACTATTACTCAGGAAACAATGAAAGTACGTATGCTTCCTTTATGTTGCTATGAATGACACCTCCATGGTACACATAAGGATGTAACCACACAAAGAGCAGATTAATATGATGGACAAATTCTTTGTGCAGTACCTGTGCAGACTCTGTGCTGCTCTGGGCTGTAATGGAGATGTATGGCTTGGAGGCTGTGGAGCAGGTTGAAGTTCTGGGTGGCACTGGAGGAGGAGTTTTCTTGTAAGTGGTGATGCAAGATGAAACTAAAGGAACAAGAAAGAAGAAAAGAAAACGGGAAGATGAGGAGACAGGATATGTTATAAATTAGTTTGATATACAAATACTGCACCAGAATGACAAGATTTGAGGTAACTATGCCTACAACCAAAGTTGTATTTTTACATTTGTACCCAGATACAATACCCACAGAAGATAACTGATCACATTTTCGATACCAGAAAACCTACATCATCTTTAAGGACATCTTTTATTTATTTAATTCTAAAAATGGATGTGGATATATCAGAACTATGACACAATATTAAGCCACATTTTCACAAAAGTGAAAGCTATTTTTTATGATGCTGAAAGGTGCAAGTTCAATAATGCAACGAAAAACTATAATCCTATATACTCGGAAGTAAAAATTAAAAGAAAAATGAAAGAACAAAGCCGGTGTAGCCAACTGAAAGTGGCTGGGGTAGATGAATATAAAACCTAAGGACATGTTGTGGACTTGTGGACAGGAACATGTGTCCTTATAACTGTGTGAAACAGATTTGTTTAAGTGATGTATAAATAAGCCTCTGCTTTATTACACGTTCCACACAATGGATTTAATGTCACAGGTTCAATGCTGGGTGACAAAACAACAGACAGGTAGACAGTTTCGCAAGGGTACTGATCTAGAGCTATCAGTTTAGTTTTTAATTAAATATAAATAGTGTGCAGGGAGATATGCATTGTGAATAGGCCTCCAAAATATGTAATTGACCAATAATTATGTAATCACAAGGGATAATTAAATGACCAGTCATCTTAAGTTAGTTTATGTAAGAACAACGTTTCCTTAAAAACATGCAGTGGTAGATATTTATGCTTGACACACACTAGGGGAGCAGTTAGGGTGGGGGCACAACAGTCTAATCCCCAGCTACTGAAACTAGGTTTTAGAACATAGAACACCATTTCATACTGTGTTATACCTATTCTAGTTATAACTGAGAAAATATTGCCTTAGTATATTTTAGCCAGAATTATCAGACTCTTCCATCACAGTAGATGGTAAATGGACTGGTTCTTATATAGGAATTTTCTACTCTATTTGAGCAATCGAAGGGCTTTACACAACTTGCCTCTTTTTTTCTATGCAAGTGCTTTCTATCTAACATTTGCATGGATTCATACTCCAATGGATGCATCAGTGAGCAACTTGGGGTTAGTATCATGCCCAAGGCTATTTGGCATGCATACTGGATTGTCTGTAGAAGACGATCAAATCAACTTCCGGTTAGTAGGTGACTTGCTCTACCACCTGAGCTACAGCCACCCCAATAAGATCTCACACTTGTAAGTTGGTGGAATAGGTCTTGGAAATAAAAATATAATGATAAAATACAATCAGCTGTAAGTTTAACCAATAGAACAAATAAGAAAATATCATGTATAAAATGATTCTTACTCTTACTGATAGTCTGACCATGGAGGCTAGGTATGTGTGTCTGTATGTGTGTGGGTGTGTGTTGTAGTGGCAGATTTCCATACTCTATGCATTGATCACATGTTTGAACAATATCACTTTAGTAATAGTAAAATCACTTTGTCTCAAAGTTATAGATATGTAGGATGTTATCACAAGTGGGCCTTGTGCTGATTACACTTTCACAGTGGGGCCATTGTATGTAGGTTAGAGACATCCAGGTGCCACATGTAAGGGAGGTGACGGGTGGTTGTTAATTTACCTTTTGGAGGAAGGGTTTGAGGATGAGCTGAACTGGGAGGTATAGAGCTACGTGATGTGCTGTGGAATTTCCTTTGTCTGAGTTTGGTCAGGTCGTATTTAAGAGTTCAGGGAGGTGCCCATCTTTAGAGACCTTTTGGTGTGTTACCTGAGTGTTTTCTCATGTTCATGTGAAAATAAGGTAATGATACATGCAACTGAAGTAAGATTGCATAAACTGAATAAAACAGAAGGATATACACATGTGACTGAAAGTTCAAATGTGATGGAATTACTGAAAAGTCATGCTAAGAATAACATGGAAAAGAAGATGTTATACAGTCATTTTAAAGTTTGTTTTAAATTGTGTATGTAGAAAAGTCAGAAAGAAAGAGGATGATAAGTCGTGATATCTTCTGATGTCATCTCAGAAGATGTTACATCCAGAGAGAGAGGAGAAAGGATGACCTTGTACAAAAGTGTTGCGCAGAAGAAATAAGCTGCTCTTCCCTTAAGTGAAAATACATTGATGTTGGGTTTTTTTTTTGCACTAATAAAGTTGTGGAGTTGTAAAGTATTTTGTCTAGTGTCAATTATATCATCAGTTATATCATTATCGCAAATTTTCAAATGTATATCGTGACAAATATTTTTGGTCATATCGCCCTGCTCTAACTGTGACTACTGGAACAAGAAGGCATAGGTGGGCAAGAGATAAAATCAGGGCACTGTCGGAATGTCACTACACAAGTAACACCAGCGGAAGGGGTTACATGAAGAGGACAGGGGACCTGTGGAATCTTTGATACACAGTATCATGTCTGACGACGAAACAACTACTAGCTCAGTGTTCCAAAATTCAGAAGAAGGGACTGCTATCACAGCTGGAGATCGACAAGGTACAAAACAAATACTATGGCAAGGGGGAGGTAGGATGGGGGGGGGGTATCATCACCCCCACCCGAGATTGGGTACCAAAGCAACAAGTACGATGGAAGAAGGAGAATTGAGTGTGAGAGAAACTGACCTGAAAGAGAGGATGATTGCAAAGATGGCAATATGGAGCAGGTTACCAAGACTATGTGAAGTACCCTCTGAAGGTCTACTAGAATGTGTGAATGCAGCACTATGGACATTCCTACTGTGACCATCATCAAGACTAATCAGCTGATCTATACCACGGCAGCAGTGATCAGTGAGATGCTTGGCTACAAGATAAACCGCCACAAGGAGCAGTACCCTCCATGGAGAAGGAGACTAGAGTACACCACAGCAACCTCCCTAAACAGAAATTATCACAGTGGCAGACATCCAAGAAAGGGTCTCCAGTTTGAAGAGTTGGACAGCACCAGGCCCTGATTCACACCTGCTGGTAAAAGAAGCTGACTGCACTCCATGAGCATCTGACAGCACAAAAGAACCAGCTTTTAATCAACAAGAGACACCCAGAATGTCTGACTGAAGGCCAGACAGTCCTGTTCCCCAAGGATCCCCAGAAGGGACTGGTCCAATCCAACAACTGCCCAATAACCTGCCTCAGGACTGCATGGAAGCTCCTGTCAGGCATCATAGCGGCCAACCACTGCCACTGCCTGGATTGACTACAGGAAGGCCTATGACTCAATGCCCCACACCTGGATCCTGGAATGCCTAGAACTGTACAAGATCAACAGGACCCTAAGAGCCTTCATCAGGAATACAATGGGGATGTGGCGTACAACACTTGAAACCAACGTCAAGTCCATAGCACAAGTCACCATTAAGTGCGGGATCGACCAAGGAGATGCTCTGTCTCCACTGCTGTTCTGCATAAGCCTGAACCCTCTCAGTGACATCATTAATAAGACTGACTATGGATACTGACTACGCAATGGAGCAGTTTTCAGCCACCTCCTGTACATGGATGACATCAAGCTGTATGCCAAGAGTGATTGAGACATTGATTCACTGATCCACACTACCAGCATATCCCTGACATCGGAATATCATTCGGACTGGAGAATTATTTTGAGCAAAAAGTTTAATTTGAGTGAAAAAAATTCATTGAGGTGTGCAAGAAATGTATTTCACTGTTTGCTATTATCTATATACACACACAATAACATGTTGCTCAGTTGTTGGCATTTGCTCTTGCTCAGATCGTAGGCTTCTGTTCTGCTTGTGATCCATTTATTCTGTGCCATTTCTTCTGTTCTTGGTTTAGTTGATAGGTTTGTTTATTTCTTTTGTATTTTCATTCGGTTCCTTCTAATTTGTCTTCTCACTGAGTCTTGACGTCTGTTTGTGTCAAGCATGTGTGTCTTAATCTCGATTTCAATGTTAGTTATTTCCTGTCTTATATCTCTTGTCCTGTGTGCTTTGGGTTTAGTTCCATTTTCCCCAGTTTCATTATCTGTGATAGTTTCAGCTGTGTTCGTGCCTGTTGCCTATTCCCTGATTATCCTGTGTGTGTATAAATTTTCTTCGTTTTTTATTGCTTTTTGTTGTGTTCTCCCTCTTGCTGTGTGCCCTTTGGGTTTTTTGATGACCAGATGAAGCCTCGTAAAACCTTGAAATTTTCTATGACTCCCACCCTGTCACTCATCAAAACCTTTTGTCATTTCAACTATTTGTAACAGCTGCTTTGTTGCGTTGCAATAGTGTCAAGCATGGAAACAATCACTGCCAAGAATAGAGTTAAAAACGCCTTCATTTCATTTTGTGTGGTTCATTCATTGATTTAATCTGTTTTTGATTTCATTTAATTTGGAATAGTTTCAAAATGTCAGAAATTTGCCTTGGTTAAATTGGCAACTCTATTGACATATTTTTTTCAGATAGTCTCAGATGCTTCATACTGTTAGTCCACAGCATGCTAATCAGGTTTATGTCAGAATAAATTTTAACAGCACCAATATACTGGTCTCAGCTGGAGTGCTGTGAGCATGAGCAACAACCTTAAAATAGCAACTTTAATAACAGTGGTCAGGATTATAGCAATACGACTGTCCTCAGTCTGTGTTCTCTTTGAAATTATTGGAAAAGCTTAAAGTATGACCAAGTTAAGTTGTTGCCTTTCTCTGGTTAGTTTTTCATGTTGATCAGTCATTAACTGAAGGCAAAATCTTGAGATTATGCCTTGTAGTTTATAGGTAGTATAAGGAATGTAGTCCTTTTATACATCCTTGTATGTTACTGACAAAATAACCTTAACATTTCCCGTTGGAGACTGGTAGATTGGATGGAAAATGCAGCCAATTTAAAGGAACAAGTTTAACTGTGAAGACATTTTATTTATAATTTAAAAAAATTTAAAATCCTCCAAAATGTCAAATCTTCAACTAC